AAAAAAAAAAAGCTCCTTAAAAAAATAAAATAAAAACTTATTTAAAAAAAAAGTAATTTAGAAAAATAAAATTAAAAAAAAATATTAAAAAAAAAATATTAAAAAAAAAATATAACCTTCTAATTTTTTAAAAAATATATTATATATATATAATGCAAAGTTACTATTTTACCCATTTTGAAATTAGAGTCCGTTTAATTGTAAGTGTGGAAAATAGGTGAAAAAAAAATGAATTTTAGAGAAAATAATTGCCTAAAACTTGTTTTCCAGGGAATTGTTAATTAAGTGTGTTTGATTGGTATAATTTTCCACCCGAAAAATTTTAAATTTTGGATCTTTTTGTATTCGTTTGATTTTATTTCACATGAAAATTGTCCATTAAAGTGATAATTGTTTCCACAATTGTTTATAAAATTTGTTTCTATTACCAAAAAGTAGGAAAAAAAACTAAAAAAAATATTTTCTAGAAAATCATTTTTTAATCAAAGTTTAGTATTCGTTTGACTTTGTTTTACATGAGAATTGTCCGTTAAAGTGAAACATTTTTTTTTACAATTGATTATGAAATTTGTTTCCATTGCAAAAAGAAAAAAAAAAACTAGAATCATATTTTCCACCAAAAGGTGGGAAATCCAATTCCTCCAAATTCAAGAAATAGTGCACGTGTGAAGCATTTTAGAAAAATATTTTCCAAAAAAAAATTTATGGTATCAAACAAGGAAAAAGTTGAAAAATGAAATTCAAATTCCATTTTTCATGGAAAATTTGTGTTTTCAAGCATAGCCTTAATGAAAAGAGTAAAAATAAGTTAGGTGACCATTGTGAAATATTATATGAAATTGGATGGCCATAGTGACAATAAATATAAAGTTTGGTGGCCATAGTGAAATAACATCAAATTGGATAACTAACACTAAATAAATTGGGTGGTTATTGATTGATTTAACCCCCTATTATTAATGAGAACAATACATAGATAAAGTATTTAAGTATCACAATTTCAAAATTAAGGTTTGAGGTTTTAAGTTTCAAAAATCAGGTTTTCAATAAAATTTATTTATAATTTAATTAATTAATTATATAATTTATTAATAAATATATAAAGGTCACATATCTATGCAATTTGGTCACAATTCAAACAATTTAATGTCACAATTCAAAAAATTTATAGGTCACGGTTCGTTCGTCGGTCACAAATTAAAAATTCAAAAGTCACAATTTGTTTATTGATCACAAATCACAAAATTATAAGTCACACAACTTATTTTATGATCACAAAACATCAAATTATAGGTCACAGATAACTATTGTTGGTTACAAATTAATAAATTTATAGCAATTTATTCTATATTGGTCACATACCAACCAATTTATTGGTTACAATTCAACAAATCATTTGTGACCACTACCAACACGCCTACACCGTCATCTCGCCGCCAACACCACCACAACAGAA